GTGCCCCACTTCCCAGGCAGCTGGGCTCTGTAATCCTCTCTCTAGGGCCAGGCTAGTCCCTCCAGAAGGAGACAGCTGGGGGCCGCTGGGGACCCTCCTTCCAGCTCTCAGCCTGTTCTTTGAATGTTTGGAGGGAAAGTATGGGCCTCTCACTTCCTTCCCAGAAACCTGGGCTTTCCTTGATTAAATACATCAGGCTGGTTACCTTCGAGTCAACTGTGAATCGTAGCGACCCCAAGTGGGTCAAAGGAGAATTGCACACTATAGGGTTTTAAATGGTTTGTGATTTTTTTTGGAGACAAATTGCCAGGCCTTTCTTCCGAGGTGTCTCTGGATGGATTCAAAGCACTGACCTTTTGGTTTATAACTCAGGGCTTAATCCTTTCACCCAAACCCCAAATCAAACAATCCTACTGCTGTCCCGTCCATTCTGACTCATAGTGACCCCTGTAGGACAGAAGAGAATTGCCCCAATGTGTTTGTGGCAGCTTAGTCACAAGGAGTTGTGCTGCCAACCCAAAGGCAGGCAGTTGGAATCCACCAGCTGCTGCATGAGAGACAGGCGATCTCCGGTGTGATTTACAGCCTCTGAAAACCTGCTGAAGTGTCAGCGATGAGTCAGATCTGACTCATAACACACATAACATGACAGCACATAACATGCGTTATATAATGCTGGAAGCCATGTACTAGTATTTAAAATTCCACCAGAGTCACTCACGGTGGACACATTTCCACAGAACTTACAGCCTACAATAGACAAAGAAGAAAGGCCTGGTGATCTGCTCTAGCCAGTGATCCTACGGATCACAGGACACAGCTTGGCATCTTTCTCATTGCTGTCAAGTTGAAGTTAATGCATAGTTGACCCTACAATGTTCCGCTGCTGTAAATTGCACGAGAGGAGATTGCCCATCTTTTCCCTGCTGAGCTGCTGGTAGACACGAACCACTGGTTAGTCCCAGACCTCCTTTCTGTGTACATCGCGCTAGCACTGGACTCAGGTACGCCAGCGACTGTGAAGACGGCACAGCGCTGGGCAATGTCATACATGACATGGGCTGACCAGACTGAAACTACTGCTAACAGCAACAATGTGTACAACTCACACACTATTATCATGCTTTGCCATGTCAGGGATGGAAGGTTCGGGCTCACCTCTCGAGAACTGGGTAATGGGTATGGCCTGTGGTGGAAGCATCTGGCCTAGAATGTGCAAATATGTCAAGTACATATGTGACTCGTATGTGTGAACCTTGAATAGGAGGGACTGATCCTTGGAGAGGGACATCCTGCTTGGAAGGGTGGAGGGACAGCGCACGAGAGGGAGACCCCGGATGGGATGGATCGTTGCAGTGGCTGGGGTAATAGGGGTTGGTGTGTTGGATCAGTGGGACTGGCTCAGGACAGGGCAGGCTTCAGAGCTGCTGTACATAGGGTCGCTATGGGTCACAGGTGACTCGATGGCACATAACAACAACAGAAGGTATTGTCAATAATACTGTTAAGTGCTCTTGAGTCAGCTATGACTCACAGCGACCCTATGAACAATCAGTTTAAACCCTGCCCTATCCTGTGTCATCCTCACAATCTCCACCTTGCTTAAGCCCAGAGTTGCAATCTCTGAGTCGCTTCATCTCACTGAAGGTCTCTTTCTTTGATTTCACTTTTCTAAGCATTGTAACACTGATTGTAATAGAAACAATAGTTCAACAAATGGAATGTCATTAACAAGTTGTCATTCTTGTTGCATGTCGTCAGGTCAAATGCAACTTACAGTGACCCTACGTGGTACGTGTAGAAGAAAGGCCCTTAGGGGTTTCTTGGTTACATCGGTAATGGAAGCAGATGACCAGGCTTTTTCTTCCATGGGACCACTGAATGGTACCTTTAGGTTAACAGTCAAATCCAAATAGTGGGCACTACCTGGGATTAAAACAAACTTGGAAGCAGGAGTGGCATCTACTTCTGAAATAGCTTGCCTCCTGAAACCCTAAGAAACTGGAGAGAGGATGAAAGTTATACAAGTGTTGCAGGTCTTTCGTTCATAGGGTCGTTATGAGTCGCCTACGACTCGATGTCACTTAACAACAACAACAACCTGAGGTCTTGTTAAAGCCTCCCCCAAACCCCACAGGACAGGAGCTCTGAGCAGGGGTGTCACCAGGTAACTGGCCTGACCTGGAACCTGCTATTACCAACTGCTGTAGAGTTGATTCCTATTCATAGTGATGCTATAGGGCTCAACAGAATTGCCAAAGAAGGTCCAGTCTTTTCAGAAATACACTATCTCATCTTTCTCCCCCAGAGCAGCGGCTGGTGGGTTTGAACTGCTGACCTGGGTTGTTCAGCAGCTGAACACTTTAACACCTGAGCTACTAGGGTTCCTTTATCTGCCGTTTGTCGTTGTTGATTGTTCTCGAGTGGAGCACGATTCATAGTAAACAAAAGGCTTGAAGTCCTTCTACAACTATTGGCATTAATTAAAGTTCAGTTTCCAGAGGCATGTTGTTTAGGAAGTGAGTGCCACTCCTGTGGGTTTTATTTATTTATTTATTTTTTGTTGTTGTTGTTTGGTTTTGATTTTTATGTGCCATTACCACCCCCATCTTCCTGACAAATCAACAGGCCTGGAGAGGTGACACTACGTGCCTAAGGCCACATATGGCTTGTAACGAGTGGAGCTATTATTCAGAGCAAGTCCATCCACTTCGGCCCCGACTCTCTGTGATCTGTGTCCTACCCCAATACTGTCTCACTGGCACCCCATTTTGAGCCTCAGCAAGGGGGGGGGGGTCAGGTGGTTGCTGGCACAAAGGCACACAGAGAAAAGGGAAGAAACAGGCTTGAAACCCTGACTTGGGGGCTTAAAAGTCATGTCTTCTGAGCATACCCACTCAGGGGTCCACTTCTAGGTTCTGTTTTTTTTTGCCCAGCAGCTCCGGGCCCTCCTCCGGCCCCACCCCTGCGCCTCTGGAGCTCCCTAGCTGGCCGGGCTCCCTGGCTGGCCCCACGCCCGGGCCTGGTCCAACCCCCTGGCGCTCTGCCCAGCTTGGGACGTGCAGCTGGAACCCTGCCACTCTTCCTCCGTGTTCCAGCAGAGAACAGGGGTGGGGCCAGGGCCTGGAGGCCCCGGGCTGAGGCTGGGTGAGGGGGGCTGGGGCCTGGCACCCTCTACTCAGGAAGGAGAGAAAGCCACATCTTTACTTCCCTAAGGAGCTCACTACCCACAAGTGAAGCAGAGGAGAAAAGTGGAGACCCCACCCCACATTCCGAACTGCTCCGGGCTGCTCTCCTCCCTACTCGCAATTGGGTATTAAGAGTCTGGAAAAAGTGTAAGGGAATTGGGAGCCTTAGGTTGGAGCTGGGCTGGGACTCTTCTTGCCACTGCTTGGAAGTGGACTGAGAGACGGGAGACAGGCCCAACAAGGGTGTCATAACCCCGACTCTGCTCATTATCAGCGACCCAGACATCCAGAGCGGTATCCATCCTCAAAAGCCTATCTCTTTCCAGAACCTTCTCTACCCCTGGTGAGGCCATTAGGGATGCCTCAAGAACAACCCTGCCTGGGTTGGTTGGGGTGGCAGCAAGCCAGACCCAAAGGCATGAGAGAAGGGGTGTTTTGGGTCCACTCACCATCGCCCAGACCCCCTTTGGCCGAGGTGACATCCCGGGGGCGCCGGAGGGGTTGAGGATCGGATCCGGGTGCGAGTTACGAGTGGGTGGTGCGCAGTGTGGCGGCAGAGGGATGACCCGACAGGAAAGGGCTGGCCTTGAGTGGGGAGGGGGGCGCACCCCAGCGCAGCCAAGAGGGGCCCCACCCAGCTAGGAGGGGGCGCTGGGAGGGGCGGGTCTACGGCTGGTCCAGAAGGGGGTGGGCTGGAGTTGCCTGGTGGGCTTAGAGCCAGGGACCGGAATAGAAGGGAATGGGGGGAGGACTGGAAAAGGGGGGTCAGCAAGATGGAGGTGTGGACAGATCAAATCAGCCCTGTGAGCTGGGGAGGCGGGAAGGGGGTGAGGCTTGCTGGACGCCTCAGATTGGACAGGGAAAACCGGGGACTTGGGGCGTGTCCCGGGGTCCCCTGAGAAGGTGTGCAGGTGGGGTCCCGTGTCAGTGGACCCTAGGGCCCGGGCTCCCCTCGGTCCCAGGGGACCTGCACCTGCTAAGAGGTGAATCCAGAAACATTCCTCAGTTAGGCCCTTCCACAGGGACTCACACTTGAATTAGGCATAACACCCCTTTCTCCCGTGGGGTCGCCCCCAAATTAAGGGTGGCGTGGGGCCTTTCCTTACCCTCCATTTACGCTTCAGATATAAGGGCAGGACAGGGACGGGTGGGGAGAGTACGAATAGATCTGGTTTCCCTGGTATTAAAGAGGGTGACCCTACTTTTGGAAAGGAGACAAAAGGGACCCTGAAAAGGATTCCTGATAATTCTTGAAAGGAACTTCTCCGTGACATCTAGAACTGTCAAGATGTGTGTGTGTGGGGGGGTGGTGGAGGGGGGGCGGTCGTTGAGCCTCGGTGATTCTCAATCTGAGGATCCCAATCCAAAATTCCAAAGTATACCCTATACCTGGGAAGGATTAATTTGGGGTGTCCTATACCTCCTAGGATCCCAGGGGTCCAGTAAAGAGCAATGTCAATTTTGAAGGGTGTGAGGTCAAAGGGGACGATCTGTGGAGAGAAAATGCCTCTCCCTGGAGAACAGGCTGGCCTAAACTCTACTGGCCCCGCTTCTACAGGGACCCCAAATTTCAGGCGGATTATCATTCCCGAAGTCTCTGCTCTAGGGAGGGGCAGGACAGCCAGGGATTTGAGGGAGCCCCACCTCTACAAGTCCCCCTAGAGGTGGAGGAGACAGGGTGGGCAGAGAGGATGTGGGTCCAGCCGAGGACCTCCGGTGTGGGCTCGCACCCATGCAGACTTCACCTGATTCAGGGGTCTCTGGCAGGAGAGCTCCCCAATTCCCACCACCCCTAACCATGCACCCCTGTACCTTGCGCGCTGCAGCCCCAGCGCCATGGCTTGCCAGTCGCCGCTGCTGAGAAGCCCTTCGAGGCCCCGGCCCCCTCCCCTGACTCTGCGAGCCCCCTCCCCAGCTCCGTCCCCCGAAGCGTGATTGGCTGAGCCGTGGTCTGCCCCTGGCGCTGGTTGGACAGCGGCCCCGTCGCTCTCAGGAGGAGGCGGGACCACAGGGGAAGGATTGCGGCGCTCGGAGGGGTGTGTGAGCGAAGGGGGCGCCGTAAGCGTGATCCACACACACACACCCCCGGCCACGCCCCTCCCAGGACTTCCTCCAGTGGCGCGCGCACAGGTCGCCTGGGTCTGGGCTGCACCCTCTCCTGCAAAATAACAGCACTTCAGCTCCCCTCGGTTCCTGACACCTGAGTGGGTTCTAAACAGGACCTTCTCTTTCAATTAACAGCCAAGTGCTTTAACTGCCAAGGCTCCCAATTCCTGAGCCTTTCCCATTTCTGCTCCTGCCCTCTGAAATCCCACTCTTTCTCCCCAGACCCCACTCCTCGCCCTTGCTGTTGCTGATCCTCCAGTGGGTTTTCAGAGGCTGTAAATCGCCCAGGAGAAGATTGCCCATCTGTCTCCTGGGAGCACCTGGTGGATTCAAACTCTGTGCCTTTGGGTTGATGGTGCAACTCCTCCCCACTAAGCGGCCAGAGCTCCCTAAAATGAGCCTGCTCTTGTTACGTGGATCCGGAACCCACTCCTAGTTGATTCTCAGGTTTTTCGAGGCTGTAAATCACAGGCGAGGAGACTTCTCTTATTTCTCCTGCAGAGCTTCTGGTGGATTCCAACCATGTACCTTAGGGTTGGCAGTGCAACTCCTTACCACTTACCTCAATTCCTTCAGTATGGTAGGAATTTTTTTAATTTTATTAATTTTAATGAACATTTACAGAGATTTTGGATTTCCATTCATTCATTGTTGCACTTTTCTCCCGCCCCACCCCCAGTTTGTTCCTCTCTTTGAAAAGTAAAAGAAAAATTCTTTCATTGGTATACAATCTCCCCGCACCCCCCACCCCTCGCCCCGAGTACACTCTACTATGCAACCTTAATTCTGGACTCTTGTCATAACCATAATACTCTATCATATATTGCTTTTAAACTGTTCTCTCCCTCATCTGTTTCAATGCAGTATCCATAATTTATCCAGTTTTTCTCAGTCTTACCCCAACCCTGAAGTCAGTCTCATTCTACAACAGTGGCACCATGCAATATTTATCCCTGTTTGACTGAGATATTTCACTCAGCATAATGTCCTCCAGGGTCACCCATTTTGAATAATATTGCATGAGTTCCTTGTTTTTCAATGCAGCATAGTATTCCTTGTATAAATATATCACACAGCGTCTCTATCCATTCGTTTATTGATGGGCACTCAGGTTGTTTCCACCTCCTTGCTATTGTGAACAAAGCTGCAATAAACATGGGTGTGCAGGTTCCTCCCTTTGGTGATATTGTTTCGAGTACCATCAGGAACCAACTTATAGATGACCCTCCAGTGGATTTTCATTCTTCTGTCACAGAGCCTCTTTGGGAACTCTGGTGGCCTAGTGGTAAGAAGCTGCGCTGCAATCTCAAAGGCACATGGTTCAAATCCAACAGCTGCCCAGTAGGAGACAGGTGGGCAATCTCCTGCCATGTGATTTACTGTCTCTGAAAACTCACTGGGTCGGTTCTGCCTCCACAGCACACCACCACCACAACAACAACAACAACACTGGTGAATGATCGTCAGGCTCATGTTAGGCAAATACTAGACATCGTATTTTCTTCTGAAAAGTGGAGAGTGGTGGTGCAGGCGGCGAAAGTCCTCTGCTGGGAGAAGTGACACAGGAGAAAAGGCCTGGCAATCTACTTCCAAAAAAACCAGTCAGTAGTGAATAATGCTGCTATGGACATTGATGAAAAAAAAAAAAATCTCAGTTTGTGCCTCAGTTCTCATATTCTCAGGGTATATTCCAAGTTGTGAAAGAGCTGGGTCATGTGGAATTTCTGTGTTCAGCTTTTTGAGGAAACGCCAAACTGCCTGACAGAATGGTTGCACCATTTTACAAACAAAGTATAAGAGTTCCTTTCTTGCCACATCCTCTCCAGCATCTAATACTTGCTGCCCTGTTAAACTTTGCCACTGTTACTGGAGTGAGATGGCACCTCATTGTGGTTTTGGTTTGCATCTCTCTTATTGCCAATGATTTGGAGCATTTCTTCATATGTCTCTTTGCCTTTTGAATATCTTGCTCTGTGAAATTGCTTCCGTGTCTTTTGCCCATTTTTAATTGGGTTATCAATCTTTTTCTTGTGGAGGCCCAGGAGTAGTCTGTAAACTTTTGTTATAAGATTCTTGTCTGAGATAGTATTACCAGATGTTTGTTCCCAGTCTGTAGGTTTTCTGAACCTGGCAACATCCCAAATGTCCAACCACAAACAAATGGATTGAGAAATTATGGTGCAGTCACACAATGGAATACTATGTAGCATGCAGGAGCAATAACTTTTTAAATTATTACCTAACTTGGGAGGGACTGGAGAGCATTATGCTGGGTGAACCAACTCAGTTCCACAAGGATAAATATTGTATAAGACCGTTATTTTGTAGAATGAGTATAAGGATCCAGGAGGGGTGGGCGAGACTGGAAGCAGAGGGATGTGGATGTGCAGGGGGGAGAGGGGATTAATCATTGAGCTGTACAATTTGATGGGTGGAGGGGTGAGGGAAATGGGAAGAATTTGTTCGCATTTGTATTAGAATTTTGTAAATAAACTGGTGAAACAAACAAACAGATCAGCCAGTGAAAATCCCCTCAGAGCACAGCTCTGTTCTGACCCGCAGGGGTGGGAGGCGTTCTGTGAGTCAGAGTCCATTTAACAGCTTTTTTTAAAAAAAATAGACAAGGTCACCAAGGAGTGGTGAGGCATCACAATTGGACAGAGATCAGAATATGGGGACAGAGAAAGGAAAGCTCAAATTAATTTCTGCCAAGTTGGAAATGATTCGTAGCTGAACCTTCACCGGCTTTTTCCACGGCTTTAAATTGCATGAGAGGAGATTGCCCATCTTTCTCCCACTGAGACACCCTGGCGGATTTGAACCACTGGAGAGATGCCACCTTTGGGTTAGCATTGCAGCTCTCTAGGCACCACGCTACCCAAGCTTCTCTATGAGGAGATGAGCTGTGTGCATCATTGGGCAGAGGAGAAAACACGATAGCAGAAGTCTGTGGGTTTGCTGGCCCAGTGTCTGCCTCAATTTCCTCTTAAGGAATCTCTTCTCTTCACCACCATCCACTCACTGCCTTTAAGATGATTTCACAGAACTTCCAAACCGGGTTTCTGTAACTATAAACCGTCATGGAAGTACAGTGTCTCATCTTTCTTCCCCCAGAGTTACTGATTTCCAACCAATGACTTTTTTGGTTTGCAGCCAAACCCTTTAACCATAGCACCACCTCTTCTCTCCTCAGTTGGTATCATTTAAATGGGGCAGGCTACTCCAGCTTTAGGGCTGCACATAAGACCCACACCAAGCCAATCAGTTTATTATATTTCCCTGGTGAAAACGGATTGGATCAAAGGAAGACACGTGACCTAGCCTAGTCCAGTGAGGATCAACGCTAAGACATTTGTTACACCTGTTAGCAAGCAGAGGCATACTGATGACCTAGTGGGTATGGACTTGTGCTGCCAACCTTGATAACAGTGGATAAAGACGGGCTATATCCGGGAGGCTGGGCTCTATGAGGAGAAAGGTGGGGTCAAGATTGGTGGACGATCTATCAACAATCTGTCTTATGCAGATGACACAACCCGGCTTGCTGAAACGGAGGAGGACCTGAAGCACCTGCTGCAGAGGGTCAAGGACTGCAGCCTCCAATATGAATTGAGGCTCAATGTCAAGAAGACAAAGATTCTCACCACTGGATGAGAATCAGGATGGATGGTGAAGAGATTGAGATTGTTCACAGCTTTAGTTTGCTTGTCAACACTCTTGGTACCAGTAGCCAGGAAATTAAAAGGCGCATTGCCATGGGAAAGTCTGCTGTTAGGGACCTCTTCAAAGCACTGAAGAGCAATGGTGTCTCTCTGGAGACTAAGGTGCATCTGATTCAGGCCATGGTCTTATCAATCACTTGTTATGCATCAGAGAGTTGGACAATGACCAAGGAAGATAGAAGGAGAATTGATGCCTTTGAGCTGTGGTGCTGGAGAAGAGTGTTGAGAGTACCATGGGCTGCTAGGAAAACAAACAGATTCATCCTGAAGAGGGTTATACAGGGTGGCTCCTTGGAGGCAAGGATTCTGAGGCTCCATCTAACATACTTTGGACATGTTGTAATGAGGGACAGGTCCTTGGAAAGGGACATCATGCTTGGGAGGGTGGAGGGACAGTGCAGGAGAGGAAGGCCCTCTATGAGGTGGATTGATTCAGTGACTGAGATAATCGGGATGGGAGTGTTGGAGACAGTGTGATTGGCACAGGACAGAGCAGAGTTTAGGGCTGTTGTACATAGGGTCGCTATGAGTCGCAAGCGACTCGACGGCACATAACAAGAAACAACAACGTATCTTCCCATTTGATTTACAGGCTCAGAAAATCCTCTGGAGGCTCAGCTATGAGCAGTTTCTAATTTCACAGCAATGCCTTCAGCTTCGATTAGTAAGAAAAGGTGACCTGGTGGCGGCTAGCTGGGCTCATATTCAGAAGGTCAGTGGTTTGAATCCACCAGTCAGTCCTTGAGAGTCTCCTCAAGATTTAGTCTCAGAAGACAGTAGGGAGGGTCATCATGAGTGGGGCACAACTCAAGGGCACTAGGTTGGTTTGTTTGGGTTTGTTGTTGTTGTTCATCAGTAAATAAGGGATCCAGGGTAGGATAGAGATGAAAGCATTCTGCTGTTCACCCAAAGGTTAGTGGTTTGACGCCACCAGGTCCTGAGGGAGAAAGATGAGGGAGCCAAGCTTCTATGAAGATTTATGGCCGTGGGCCTCCTATTGAAGTCATACTTTGTCC